TTGTGCAAACGTGAAGCTGTGGCTGAAGGGAGCAGGCCTTGGGGGCCGGGTCATTTTGTAACACTTCCCACATGACTTTATCGATGGGTGGGCCGCGAAAACTTATCCTGTGTTTTTTTACACCCCACCCCCAAACCACCCAACCTGCCCAAGTGTTAGTTTTTCAAAGCCCAAGAAGTTTCAAAGGCCTGAACCCAACACAGGGGCCTTTCTTCATGCTTTGATTTTTCTGCCCATTAAGTGTTTGTCAGGGAGTTCGTATTTCGCCTCCTCTGCAGCCTACACATCCCAAGAGGTCCCTGGAGGTATAGGAAGTTAATTGATCCTTGATTAAAAGAAGAATTGCTTGAGTCTGTCTAGAATCAGCAGATGGGGTGTGTGTGTGTGTGTGTGTGTGTGTGTGTGTGTGTGTGTGTGTGTGTGTGTACACAGTTAACCCTTAAACAGCACATGTCTGCACTGCATGGACCACCTTATACAACGATTTTCTCAAAAAATACATTGTAAAATATTTTGGAGATTTATGACGATTTGAAAAAAACATTTTCTTTTCTCTACGGTACTGTGAGAACACAGTACATAATATATATATATACAAAGTATAGGTTGTAGACTGTTTATGTTATTGGCAAGGCTTCTGGTCAGCAGTAGGCTATTAGCAGTTAAGATTTTGGGATTTTCGACTGTGTGGGGGGTCGGTGCCCCAACCCCGCATTGGTCAAGGGTCAACGGTATATACTTTTTGGTTCTGCTTTGCAAAGAGCTCCTAATATACTTTCACTCTAGATAAACCTAAATTCCTGGGTATCGGCTTCAGAGTTTTGGTTAAATTAGATACAGAGGCACACGTGTGGCACATGATGAATGTTTATGAACTATGGCCACTGTTGCCTTGACTGCTACAAAGAAAGAATTTTTGTCTTCAAAGGCCAGGAGATTTGGTGAGCTTCAATTAATTTATTAACATTCGTAGTTGCTTCCTTCTCTCTGTCTTAAGTGACTCACTCACTTTAGAAAGCCCCCAAGAGCCAGGCCATTTGAACCCCGTCCAGCTCCACCACTTACGTGCGGAGCGACTCGGGTAAGTCACTGTAATCCCTTTGAAACGGAGGGTGACATAACATGTTTTTATGGCTGTTTCTCCCATTAGCCTTTGGGCCATTTTAAGGTTGGAACTTAAACTCCCTCATCTCAGTGCCCCAGTCAGTGCCTCGAACCTCCTGGGCAGCCGGCCTGGTCAAACTGCAGCCATCTGTGCAGGGGTCCTCGGCACAGCTGGGGTGCGTGACAGCAGGTTAGTGAGTATTAGGTGTTATTACTATTCTCTGCCATTCTCCTTGACTATCTCTTCCAGGTCTGTAGTCAGATTTAAAATTGTATCCTCATAATGGCCATCAGGTTTGTTGGCTGCCCTGTTGGTCTCCTCAATCTACACTGAGTTTTCCTAAGCATACTTAGCCCCTGGGCCCCAGAAACCTCCTCCTCATTGAAGGGTCTCTCACAACCCCCGTCCTCCGTGGGCCATCATTTGTGTCCCTGGTAGAGGAAGTTTTGGTGCCCTGGCTGCACTCTGTACATATGTCAGTCCTCAGAAATAGTTTAGTGCCCTTGTTTTTGTGACTTTCTTACAGTACCATGAGCCTCTTGAGGGCAGGTACTATGATGTATTCAACTCTAGATTCTCAGTCTCCAGCCCTGGGAATTTTCTCGAAATAAATTATCAGGGACTGCAGGTGCCACTGTTGGAAATGGAGATCCCTCTCTGGAAAAGAGCATTCTCTTCTCTGTGTCATAGAGAGGCAAGGCACGGTTTTATGTTTCTTGAGGACCAGCTGCCTCACTGGGGGACATTTTATGCTTTTCCCACCAACTGAAGGGAATCTGAGGTTGCTCTCTCTCCCTGGAGCAAAGTAAAGATTTGACTGGCATCGCCCCTGATAATACCACAAGTTTGTAGGGGAGACAGAAAAAGCCATTGGCTTTTCTAAATGCTATCCCCATGCCTTTCAAGAAAATAAACAGATCATAGTCAGATTCAACTTCTTGTCTGTTTGTGGTCATCATCTACATAATCAGAACCGGAAACGCTCCCAGGCCTTAGGCAAAGAAGGAAGAAAAGGGATTTGGATGGCTCCCAGGTTAAGAGAGGGCAAAGGGACCAACTAGACAGATTTTCTTTCCAAACCTTCTCTGTGGGACTCCCACCCACCCCAAACCCCTGCCTTTTTTTTTTTAACGTTGATCGGCATCCATAGTGTGTGCCTGCCTCCATGCTGACCCTGCCTGATGCTGTTGCCTGGTTTCTTCCAACTAAAACAACTTCCTGACCTGATTTTATTCCATTATATGTGCCTTCCCCTACTAAACTGTAAGCTCCCCCAGGGCAGAGTTTATATCACCTTCTGTACTTAGTATGCATAGTTCAGACTCAATAAATATTCAGATGATCTGACCCTTGGGTGCTTTCTAAAGTAAGTGAGTCAGTTAAAACTGAGAAGGAAGCACCTATGATAGTAATAAATTAATTGAAGCTCAGTAAATATTTGTTGAGTAAATGAATGAATTCATATATTAACTTACCGTCAGCACTCACAAAGCTAGATTTCATTCTTCCCATGGAACAAATGAGAAGGGGCTTTTGGAGATGTGAAATAAATGGCTCACGTGGTAGGGAGCAGAGTCAGGATCATTAGCCCAGTTCTGTCTAACTCCACAGCTCTTTTATACGTGTTTTATTGTCCTTAAAAACATATGTTTTACAGGCCTATCATGTGAACACTATTAAAAATGGAAGCTGGGGGCCTAAGAGTGTAGCACAAACGTAAGGAACCCAGGGTCTGTTCCCTTCCTGGGTTTATTAGCAACACTTTGGCTCCTAGGCACCACAGAGGCTGCAGCCAGGCTGGGACGTGAAGCTGAACATTTTTATCACGATGTGTGGAACTTTAAAAGCGGACTATTAATATCATACTGCTGGCTTCTCGACTACTTTTCATAGCCAAATTGGCCACATCTGAAAATATTTAAGCAGTGGAATGAAGATGGTTCAAGCCCATTTGATATCTTTTTTCTCTTGGTTCCCCCAGCCCCAAAAGATCAGCTAAGTGCTCTGGCCATTTCGAAGTCAGAACATTTATCCACTGCCTCCCTTCGTCCCCTTTACTCCATTGCAGAGGCAGCTGCAAGAGCTAATGGTTATTGCCTTTGAGGGCCCCTCTGTGTTTACATTAAGAAGGTCAGGCACAATGCTGTGGTGTGTTGCTGTTCTTTCTTTTCAAAGCACCAGTATGAATTTGATAAAATAAATTGTTGTTCTAGCAGGAAGCAGTTAGGGGTCACAAAATAAATAGCCGTAGAATTCAAATAAATCCAAAGAATAAAACCAAATAAATCCATGTGTGTATGCACAGTGATACATAAATACACTTTTTAGAAAGTGAGCATTTTTATCGCTGCTGGTCTGGACCAAAGTAATTGAAAAATTGTAGCGTTCATGCTACATTTTTTTTAAGAGGCAGTCTGGGCCTCTGAGCAATGTGATGTGAATTTAATTCTTTTTGAAAAACATGGAAATGGAATTTTATCTTTTGAGCAACCTCTTATCTTGGGATTTTTCAGCTAATGAAATTCACATTTGGACAAAATGAATTTGCAAAGTTAAGTTAGGGATTCAGGCATTTTGGGGTGGACTACAAGACTGAGCTAAATAATCTGAGTCTGTTCTCTTCCCTTGCAGGTGAGCAATAGTGGTGCTTAAATGATTTAACATGACCTCTTAGGGCTGTTGGCAGATTCACTGCAAAAATGGATGTAAAGTACTCTACACATGATGTACGTCAGTGAAGATTGTTGTCATTAATGAGATGTGGTCTTCCCTAGTCCTAACATTCAGTGGCTCACCGTTTATTTTGTAAGGTGGCATTGGGGCTTAGCACTGGACTTGGGTGGGAGGGGAGGAAGAGGTCTTCAAGTCTAAGAAGAGAGCATGAACAGAGACAGAGTCTCTGTGTGCTGTTTTTCTGGGGGGTGCATCAAGGTGGGGGCACATCAAGGTGGAGGCAGCAGGCTCTGAGTCTGGAGAGGTGAGGTTCAGGTCGTGGGGCCCTCCAGAGGTCATACTTGGAGACCGTATCTTGTCCTGTGCATTGGGGAGCCATTGAAGACACGTTAGCAAGGTCATGACATGCTCACGGTCAGGAAGTAAATGGGTAGATACATGTAAAAGGCAGTAAAGGCCAGAAGACCGACTTGGAGGCTGGTGCAGTGAGCAGGCAGGAGATCTTGTAAGGCGTCACCTTCTACTTCAGGATTATGAGGGACTTTCTTGGCAGGTGATGGAATCCATTTGCCATGACCTTTAAGGGAATGGCATTTGAGCTGGCCACCGATAAACCAGCAGCAGCTGTGAGCATGGCTTGGCCTTCCCGGGTGCCCTTGGGCTCCCCTCCAGGTCCACAGGAGCAGGGTCCAGCTCAGCTCTACTCCATCTTGTCAGTGACTCTTTGAACAGTGAAAGAAAAAACTGAAAATGGCATCATGGAGCAGCTACAACATGCCAGGCACTGTGCTGAGAATTTTATGTGCTCTGTTCTCCTTTAGTTATCACCATAACTTGTTTATGGGGAAACTGAGGCTCTGGAAGGCAGTATGAGAACCAGAGGTCACATTGCTAGGAAGTGGTGGATCTGGGATTCAAATTCAGATTATGTGACTCCAAGGTCTTCATGCTCCATGTAGCACAGCCTTGGGGTGAGCCGGTGAGCCCCTGTACCAGAAACGGTTAAGACCTAGGAGAAGACAAGAGGGTGATGGAGGGGGAGAGGGGCTGCAGTAGTGAAAGCTTCCTATAGGTTGCAGATGATTGTAAATGCAGGGAATTCATTTTCCTGTCCATGTTGTGACTGGGTCTTTGCTGTAAGTCGTTCTTCTTTGGCCTCTTGGCACTGATGTTTCCCCTTTCTTGTTTCTTCCTGGTGTACGTGGTGGTTCCATCTCTCCAGCTGGTCTGCCCTTCCTCATCATTGAGACAAGCACCATCAAGCCTTACCACCGGGGGTTTTACTGCAACGACGAGAGCATCAAGTATCCTCTGAAAACGGGTGAGACGATAAACGATGCGGTGCTCTGCGCCGTGGGGATCGTCATCGCCATCCTCGCGGTAAGCTCCCGGGCCGTCGCGGCCCACCATCGGACTCCCTCTGTGTCAGCTCAGGCTGGGCAGATCTAAGGGAATTTCATTTGATTACTACTATTTATTTCATGTAGTTAATACTATTACTAAAAGTATTTTGAACACTACATATACATGTGTCCTAAAAGCATTAGAAAGTATGCTAAGTGCCCTTCCGAAATACTTTGCATGCATTATCCTCCCAACAATCCAGTGAAGTCTAGATACTGTTCTTATCTTTCTTCTACAAATTAAGAGGTCAATAGAGTAAAAATAATTTGCCCAAGGTTGTGTGGTTAATGCATGGTAGAGTTGGGATTTACATCTGCCTGTCCCTTACCCCAGAGACTGCCGAGCCACTGGGCTCTAAAGCTGAGCCCCAGAGGAGGGGGCAGATGCTGTGTCAGATATCAGGCAACTTCTGTATCCCTTCCATGTCATCGCTGTGCTGCTGTAACAGTGATGGTGCCACACGTGTGTTCTCTGGCATATTATTTAGTTCTCTCATTCAGGGGCTGTGGTGTCACTGTGAAAATATAGTGGGACGTGGAATCTAGTACCCCAGAGACTGCCGAGCCACTGGGCTCTAAAGCTGAGCCCCAGAGGAGGGGGCAGATGCTGTGTCAGATATCAGGCAACTTCTGTATCCCTTCCATGTCATCGCTGTGCTGCTGTAACAGTGATGGTGCCACACGTGTGTTCTCTGGCATATTATTTAGTTCTCTCATTCAGGGGCTGTGGTGTCACTGTGAAAATATAGTGGGACGTGGAATCTAGAGACCTCGCTTCCAGACTGGGCATCCCACCGACAAGCTGCACACCTTCATAGCCAGGGATGACAATCTTGCTTCACAGCCTTGCCCTGGGGAATAAAAGATCATGAAATATTGAAATAATTTGCAAAATTCCTCATTGCTGAGCAGGTTACTCATATGCAAGTGTAAGCTGGAGACTCCTATCCCGATATCCTCTTAAAGAATGAAGTCCTCATTGAGGATGCAAAAATGTGCCATCAACTGTGTTAAGGTCCAGAATTATTTTGAGCAATGATGGCCTGATGAAAATTGGGGTCTGGTCCACCTGGCCTTTACATGTAAGGTCATCCCCTGGTTTTAGATGTGTGAATTTGGGGCAGGGGAGACAGAGCGTAATATACAATATCCAGTCCTATAATTTGTATGTCATACATTTTCACAGCTGTCCGTTTCATACCTCCAGTGTTCTCTAACTTTGTTCTTTGCTCTTGAACCCCAGCCATGTGGGTGAACAGGACAGGCCTCCTGTTCACCAGTATCATATGTTTTCAGATTTTTGAGTCATTTTTGTATTAGCTGTAGTTTGGAAGCTTATCTTTGGCCTGTATTAATAAGTCAAAAAGGAAAGAAGTTACCCTTAAGAACAAACACTACATGTGAAATGAGTGCTAGTATCCCCATTATATAAATGGAAATGCAGAGACTCAAAGGGTAAATGATCTGCTCTAAGTCTACACTAAGTAAAAATTGGGATTCAAGCCTATGCCTGGCTTATTTCAAAGTCCTCTCTCCACCTTGCAGGCTTGATTTCAGATTTCAGATAGGGGGTTACCTATCCTATCCAAATGAACTGCTCAGGGGATAGGCAGTTCACTACTTTTGCCTACTTTCGATCAAATAATAAGCCACTGATGACACATGAGCCACATTTTCAGGAAGTGTTTCTTTTGACTGCCCCACTCTGGGGGTTGGTTGTAAACTTTGAGACCCCTCTTTGTTTTTTAATAACATCATAAACCAGGCACACAGTCAACAGTTTGAAATTGGGGAGGGGGAAGGGAGGCTCGTAGAATTCTTTCTAACCTTTAAAAGTAAAACAGTCCATTTGGCAACTGTACTAGTTTCTTAAAGGTGGACTAAGGATCATTGTGTTCAGAAGCTGAGAAATGTAAAATCTAATTTTACCACTTGCTCTAAATTGACAGTATGGGGTTGAGTTCTGTAGGAAGAGTGGTTTTTCCTGGAAAAGATATTTGTAAGGGAAGTCAAATGATTGTACGGTATCTTGTAATAAGGTTTGAACAGGTGTTTTGACAGTAGAATGAAGTAGGATGATCAGTGAATGGAATGATCTTAGGAAGCCAACTGTACCCAGGAGTGGTTAAGATAAGAAGAGGACAGACAGGGATGTCATGCGCTCTTTGCTGTCTCTACATGCAACTAATCCAGCTTGCCTAGCAGGCCGCTCCCAGACACAGTGCAGTGGAGAGAGAGTCTCTTCAGAGGCCTTGGCACTCCCAGGCTACGTGATTCAGGTGAATCAGTGGTTTCTCTAGCCCTCATTTTCCTCATCTGTAAAATGAGAGTGGTGTTTGAATCCATTCATGGGGATTACTGTAAGAATCAAATGCTATCATCCCTGGGAACGCACTTTGTAGCAGTGGGATAGATGGACATAGGGTATTAAAGTATACCTTCTTTGTGACAATTACTATAGGATTTCACTTATATGTGGATTCTGAAAAAAAAACTAATGAACAAACAAATAAAATAGAAATAGACTCATAAGCACAAAGAACAGACTGGTGGTTTCCATAGGAGAGAGGATGAGGGGTGGGCGAAATAGGTAAAGGGGATAAAAAGGTACAAACTTCCATTTATAAAATAAATTAGTCATGGGCATGAAATTACAGCATAAAGAATATAATCAATAATATCACAATCTTTGTATGATGACAGGTGGTAACTACACTTATCATGGTGAGTATTTGGTAATGTATATAACTGTCAAACCACAATGTTGCACACCAGAAACCAATCTAAAATTGTATGCCCACTATATTTCAATAAAAAGCAACGACAGCAAAAAATAAAGTAGCTTCTTTGAGGTTCATGCTTCTCTTCCATTCATCCTTCCTCAAGCAAAACGCCTGGTCAGCAGCTTTCTCCTTGCTGTTTGCCAAGACCAGCCCCTTCTTCCTTTGGAGAGCTAGGATTTCTAAGAACGATCTGTGGCTTGCCTCTCTCCTTATGTTGATGTTTTAATTAAGATGCTCCCTGGCCTCCCAGGTTTCCTTGAAACAGTTGTGTACTGGGATGTTGGTTACAGGAAGGGCAACAGCGTTGCCTTCTCCTCCCATACACTGTCACCAAATAGGTCTGCATAGTGCTTTCCTGTAGGGCTGAAAAAAGGCAAGAAAATACCACAATAATTGGTATCCTTTGTCAGGTGCTACTATGTGCCATAGAAACCTGTGGACCGTGTTCAAGCATTTCACCCTTGCAGGAAACCCCCAAAATAGGTGATCTCATGGTTCTCAGTTTCACTTGGGGTTAAAGGCATAAGGTGTGGTTCATTTCTGAGCCTCTGGCTCATTTCTGAGCTCCTCTGCTGTGGAACAGGTAGTAAGTTAATGATCCTCATTAAGCCTCAGTAGGCTCATCTTTAAATGGAGATAATATGTCTACTTAATTAGGTTTTCAGAATTAAAGGAGCTAATGTATGTAAAGTAACTCAGTTCTTGGCAACTACAACATACGCAATAAATGTTAGCTATTTTTATTATAAATGAGTAAATAGAGTCAGAAAGTGGTAAAGAGAATTAGCCAAGATCTTATGTCTAATAGAAATCGAACCAGGAAAGGAGCTCCAGCCTTTGATCTCATCCTGTCTCCTGCTCTTTACTTGTAGTTAATTAATTAGAACTCAGGTCTCTTGACTCATTCCAGTGAGCTTTGCAAGAGGACTTCGACCCCTGATCCAGCTGCCCCTACATTTCAGCCAGAGGCATGTAGGAGATGTGGCCTCTTAATGAGATCTGTTTGCCTGCTTACCTGCCAGAATGCTGTGGCAATAGGCAAAGCAAAGACCTCAGAGGAAAACTGAGTAATTCACTTGAATATGCTCCATTCTGGAAAAGCTATAAAGTTGAAATTAAACAAGAACAACAATGACATGTTTCCCACCTTCTGATCAGGACTGGTCCTAGAGCCTAGCTGGCTCCATCCAGGATCTGCTTCTGATCAGAGGGTGTGAATGACAGGGAAGGTGGAGAGGACCCAGAGCTGGAAATCTAATCATTCTGCTACTTGCTGCCCAGACCCTCCCCTGCCGATGTCAGGTTTGTTTAAAACAACAAGAGAGACCTTGACTGATTTGGATGCCCTTGCTACAGTTTGAGTAGCCTCACAACAGAATGGAATGCCAGTGGAGTTTAGAGTTTGGTTTAGGGATGCAAATTGTGTAGTGCATCAGAAGTTACAGGGAAAGCAGACACCTTTCTATGGCAAGAGATACGGAAAAATCTAGTCATTTTGACCTCTTTTTCAGATGTATCTCAGATTCTGGAATTATAGCATAATAGGAATTCCTTCCAAATCCACAAAGCAATGGATCCTATCCCTGCCTTGTAAAGGCTTAATGACTCTAGCAGCAGTGAGATTAGGAGCAAAAGCAGTAAATATCATCTCCTATCTAGCCTCCTCTGAGTTAGCTTTGCACTATACTATGAAGAGTATTATGAGCAAAGATTTTAATACAGAAAAAATGCTCAGTATTCTTTTTAAATAAACATGGACTCTGTGTTTGCCTTGGTCAGACCCTGAAAGGGTTTTATATAGATTATTAATATCTAGGAGTTGAAGCTCGGATGAGTCATGGGTGAATCCCCGTCTTCTTTGGCCATCAAAATGCTACTTTCCCTCTCAGATCCCACTGAATATGATTTAGAATATTATTCCTACTAGAGAAAAAGCTCAGACTTTAGCATCATCTGACTTAGGTTCGTGTCCTAACTTCTGAGCTTATTCATTCTGTTGCTTGTCCTTTAAACTCAGACAAGCCATTGACCCCTTAGAAAAGAGCTGTATCTTCCTTTTCTATAAACTGGTAACAATAGTTCACCAACTCCATAGGCTTGTTCTGGTGGTCAAATCCAGTGACATCATGTGTGTTATTTTGGAGAATCATCCTTTTCCTTCCTTCAGTGTCATATAGCTTATAAAGTGGCCTTT